ATTCCAATATCAACACTGCAAGCCGTCATCCGCCAAAAAATTGATAGACTTGGCATACCAACGCCCGCACGGAGATCCTGGTCCCCAGCTTACCTCTCAGCTAACCGTGAGTGTCAAGCGCTACGGCGAGATCTTGCAGCATAGACGACGCCGGACAATGAGGCCATCTGCTTTCAGTGCAATACCGTTGGCCGCTACTGCCGCAGCCGATGGAACAACCGACCTCGTACCTTCTCTTCACTCACCCACCCCCGCTCCTCCGATGATCCCTTGTCCCCCTCCTTGCCCCTTACTCCTTCCCAAAACGAAGGCTTAGCACCACGACCTCTGTACCACCACTCCACTTCTCCCCGTCGCCGTCAGTCTCCGTCGCCCGCCTTTCGCCGCCCTATCTCGCCAGCCAGTGACCATCGCAGCTCGGAAACTAAATCATGCAGCTTAAAAAGGTGCAGCTGAATCACTGTCACTGCCCACAAATCTTCCAAATGACGCATCGGCCACTGGTCATAATCTGCTGCCCATTAGAAATAAACGTTTCCTTAATTACGCCCTTATAGACACTGGAGCCGCCGCGCCTTTTATAAGGGAAGTTTTTGGGCGACAGCTACGTAAACCTTTAACACCACCAGACACTAAGCGACTGCTCTGTGCAGAAGGTCGTGTTATACCTTCCATTGGTATGTGTGGCACCCGAATTACTATTGATTACCAAACGACCCATGACCTGTTTACCGTCATTGCTAGCTCTCTGCATTCACCAACACTCGGGTGGGATTTCCTTTCTGCTCATTCCGCCCTGACTGACTGCCCAAACAGAGAAATTGAACTTGACGTTGCTGCCCCAACAGACGTTGCAGAACCAGTACTTTTGAGGCCACCATCTACCGACAACTATCGCATCCCACCACTTGTTGGAGCCTCCGTGAAAGTCGCATCAAACGGACCTACACCTGATGGTAATTATATGGCGTCTCCAAGCGTCGATGTTTTGTTAACGAAACGACTTGCTATTCCCCACTCTCTTGTTTCCATCATGGCTGGCACGACATATCTCTGGGTAGTTAATATCTGCCAGACCAGTGAAATGTTGCACACTGGAACTTGTCTAGCACACACATCGCCCTTTGCAACAAAAACTATATCGATCGGCTATTGCAGTGAATGTACCGCCACCTCCAGCACTATGTCTCCTGGAGAGTTCCATCCTTCCTAAACTCAAAGGCATGATCGACCCCAGACTGGACGAGCGACAGCAGCAAGACGTTCAGGCTCTCCTTTACAAGCACAGTGACGTATTTGACCTTGGGAGTTGTCCTCTCAGTCGAACGACGACAACCACACACCACATCAATACAGGCACTGGACCACCTCTGCACCACCGTCCTTATCGGGTTCCTGCCAGCGAATGTCGCATTATACAAACAGAGTTTAAAAAAATGCTCGCGCAAGATTTTGTTCAACCTTTTCTAGCTCATGGTCCTCCCCAGTTGTTCTAGTGAAAAAAAAAAAAAAAGACGGGAAGTGGCGATTCTGCGTTGACTATTGTCGGCTCAACAAGATAACTAAAAGGGATGTATACCCACTGCCACGTATCGACGACACACTTGATTGTCGGCACGGCTCCCAGTACTTTTTTTTCGTTGATCTTTGCACCGTCTATTGGCAAATGAACGTTGACGAGTCAGATAGAAAAACAAAAACTGCATTAATAACTCCAGACGGTCTTTACGTTTTTAAAGTGATGCCGTTCGGCTTATGCAACGCCCCAGCAACCTTCGAAAGCATGATTGATCGTGTTTTGCAAAGGCTCAAATGGACAACCTGCCTACGGTATCTCGACGATGCCATCATTTCTTCCACAGCGTTTGCATGTCACCCTCGAGCCACTCGACCAAGTTCTTACCCGGAAGGCAAACCTTCAATTAAATTATTCCAAGTGCCAGTTTGGTAGCTCTGAAATCAAAGTGCTAGGTCACCTTGTGGACAAAAATGGTATCAGACATGACCCCGACAAAACCAAGGCGCTCCAACAATTTCCAACACCAGCCTCCCCTAAGGACGTCCGCAGTTTCCTTGGATTGTGCCAAAACTTTAGTCGTTTCATTTGCCAGTTTGCTCGGATTGCCTGCCCTCTAACGAACCGCCTAGAGAAAAACCAACCATTTTTATGGGCTGCCGACCAAAACAAGGCTTTTCAAGCTTTGAAGACAGCCCTAACATTCAACCCCATTTTAGGCCATTTTGACCCCCCCCCCCCCCCCCCCCCCGCCCTTACTGAGCTAGGAACAGACGCCAGCGGCCAAGACCTTGGGGCTATATCGGCACAGCACCAACAAGTCCAAGAACGTGTGATTGCCTACGCCAGCCGAACCCTTTCTTCTGCCGAACAAAACTACACCATCACCGAACGTGAGTGGCTGGCTGTCGTCTGGTCTATTACGAAGTTTCACCCCTATCTCTTCGGCCGTCCATTTTCTGTTGTCACGAATCACCACGCACTCTGCTGGATCTCTTCACTTAAAGATCCTGTGGCTCGCCTTGGCCGCTGGGCTCTCCGTCCTCAGGTTACGACTATAGGTTCATTCAGAAAACGGGAAAACTTCACCGAGATGACGACTGCCTTTCTCGACATCCAGTGGACCCACCGGACTCAACGCCTGATAGCGAGACACTCCCGCTCTTTCAAATATCCGCCATTCTTAACATCGCAGAGGAACAACGACGTGATCGTACTCTCCAAACCATCATCAATGACCTCACGGCTGGAACGATTCGCCCACCTTCTACTTCCTACAGAATTGACAGCGGCATCCTTTATTGCCAAAAATTATCGACCAAACGGTGCTCCTCTGCTTCTCGTTGTTCCCAAACACCTTCAAACGACAGTGCTCGCCGAGCTGCACGACTTACCATTTTCCGGCCATTTAGGTGTTATTCGATCAATACCCGTGTTAAACAGAGATTCTACTTACTAGACAAACATGTACCGCACAGTCAAGTGGTATGTCTCCTCTTGTGACTCCTGCCAACGTCGCAAAATGCCATCAACGGGACCCGCAGGGCTACTTCACCCTTTGGCACTTTCTGAACACCCCTTTCACCAACTGGGCGTGGACCTCCTCGGCCCATTCTCTGAGTCCTACAATCGCAAACCCTGGGTCGCAGTTGCAGTTGACTATGCCACACGCTACGTGGTTACTGGCTCACTCCTGACTGGGACTACTGTCGTCGTCACCAAATTCCTCTTTCAAGACGTCATTCTGAAGCATGGCACCCCACCACGAGAAATTCTTTCTGACCGAGGCCGACCCTTTGTATCGAAAGTCGTTCATGAAATTCATCATCATCATCCTGCAATATTGCTTCATTGTGCACAAACAAACAATGGCCTAGCTATCATCGCCAGAGCAATGGGATGGTTGAGAGACTCAACAGGACCATTTCCGAGATCCTTTCTATGTATATATCTTTTGACCACCGCAGTTGGAATAGAATCCTCCCATATGCCACTTTTTCCTACAACTCCTCTTGACACGACACCACCGGGCTATTCACCCTTCTACCTTATATTTGGCCGTGAACCATCGCTCATGCTAGATTTCCTGCTTCCACCGCAACACATGTCCACGCTAACGGGCCATACGATCGACGCCACATGCCGTGCCGAGGAGGCGAACTAAGTGGCACGCCTGCGGACTCTAGACTCCAAGTACCGTCAGTGTCCCCGCTACAATCACAGGCACAACCTCGCCATTTATTTCCCAGGTGATTTGGTGTTGCCCAGAATGCCTCAGCGTTGCGTAGGCCTTGCTGAAAAGCTTCTGCCACGGTATCGCGGCCCGTACAGGATTATCAGCCAAACGTCCGACGTCAATTATGTTGTCAAGCCTTCTGGCCCCCACCGAAATCAGCACCATCATCACCCCCAGACAGTGCACGTCCTGCGATTCAAGCAATACAGAATTTTTGAAACGGCGAGACGCCATTTCCTCCGGCGGGCGAGTGGTAATACAAAGAGGAAAAGGAAGTTTGAGCTCGGCTGGTCGAGAGAGAAGAGGAAGCAGCAGGCGCTTCTGGGGCTTCGCAGGACCGCCATCATTCAACCTCTCATTCACTGCAAAATATCGTATACCATAATCAACGTAACCATATATACTCAGCGTATTCCACGTTACTTGAGCGAAGGTTTAAAATGTTTTGGTTCAATTCAGGACGACGAAACCAAAGAAATGAGCATGTTCTCTGTTTAGAGCAAGTCAGGCTATTTTTTATATTTTCCCAATAAATATTTAAACAATAATAATTAATGAACTTTTGAAATATTGAATTTAGAGCGAAAGTTCCAATGACAAGCTTGTAGAACATCATCAGAAACATCCAATTGAGTAGTTTTTAACAAGAAAGCTTAACACGTATTTTTTTTTTCAGGACTTCGATAAAAGCCCGTTAATTACGAAATAAACACGTGATTTTGCGCTTGCGCACTTTGTATTACAGTGCTCTCAGCCGTGGCTTGAATAAACTAGGCTGCATTCTGCATAGCGCACTTCTGACAGAGTCGCGTTTTTTCGTGTCTTTTTTTTTTCTCAATAATTTGAGTGCGTTTTTTTGAAGTCCAGACGAAAGAACCGTGTTAGGGTTTCTTGATAAAAAACACTGAATTGGATGTTTCCGTGGACGCTCTGTCTTTGGAACTTTTGCTCTAAATTGTATTTTTCAAAAGTTCATTACTTAATTTAATTAAATATTTTATTTGGCAGAATACAAAAAAATACCCTAACTTGCTATAAACAATGAACGCGCTTATTTATATACTTTCGTCTTCCTAAAATGTACGAAAATATTTTTAAACCTTGCTGAAGTTTTATTTTTATTTCCTCGCCCACCTCGTGAAAAAGCGATCAGCAAAGTTTCGTACGACGCCTGTGAACTGGTGGGAAAGAATATGTTCTTCAGAGGACGGCAACCCTGGTCTTGAAGCGGTCATGAGAATCCACATGGAAGATTATTAACGAGCTTTATTTTCCATTTCGATACATAAAAGGAAGAAACAAGAGGAAAAATCTGCGAGAACAGCTTGACAGAGCCCCTTTCTCCCTTCAAGTGGCATAAGCAGAATTCAAACCAAAGCAACAGCGAAAATCATTTGAGAAAACCGACATATCAAAGATGGCCCATTGCTCCCATTGGCATAAAGAAGAACACCACGACGAAGTCCTCATGGACGAATGGAATGCGACGAGACCGGCATGCTCTCAAAACCTTGTGCATGCATGCTCTGTCTGTAATTAGACAATCCTAAAGTCAAAAGGAATCCTCACTGCTACTGAGACCGCAATGCGATTTCACAAAGAATAAGTTCACCTCTTCAATCCCAATTGCTGCGTTAGTGGCGCCTACCAGGCGACTGCTGTGCTGCTGAAAAAAATCCGCCTGCTCCGGGCGTCGATCCCGTGTTTGTTAGCATCCACTTGCTCCACTGACGACTAAACACACGCTAGCTTAGTTGGTAACACACTTCTCTAAACTAAGAGAGGGTTCAATAGTAATGCGCATCAAGATAATTTTTGTTCATCGGAAGACCACTCGCCGAGAGGGCGCAGATCGCGTTGAATCTTAGGTGACAGTCAAATAGTACTTGGGAAATCTTCTCCCCTGTATTATTAGCATCTAAGAATACAATTTCAGTTTATTACTAATCGCCTATCTCGTTAGCTGAACTAATTGCAGGAAGTTCATTGTTTAGTTTTTCAAATGAATCACGGTGTTGGATAGAAACTGACTTTGAGGTGTGCGCCTTAATTTTATGAACAGCGCAGTCATGTGTAGGGTACTGCAGTCCCCATGTTTAATTATAGGACGCCTTTGCAATAATCAATTTAATCCACGCAACTGCCCAAGCGTCAGGAGATGTCACCCGATATATTCTTGAACTCTGTAAGATAATGAGTACACTGAACCTTCTTACCTTTCTAGCGTTTTTTCAGACCGCATTTTCACACGCTACGATTTGTTAAGTGGGGTACTAAAGCTTTTGCAAATGTATAAATGAATTCAAATAAAGGATGCGGAAAACCTTCAGTGGCTTTGCGATTAAACAACGTTGCCTATGTCAGGAGTTGTGCGTCGCGACACTGTTCATATTCTAACGGTTTTGGAGTGGTAACTTTGTGCGCAACCTGGGGATCTAAAGCGTTAAACCAGCTTGTGCGCATGTTAAATCGTCCATGGTTATTTCCAACAAAAGGGGGCCAAGTGCCATTGGCCACTGGAAAGCCCCTTGATTAAGGCGTTTTTTAGAAGTACCGCCAACCATTGTTGTGGAAACGCGCAAGACACGTGCCACGAGCGGGTGCTGCACCGCCATTCGCTTCCAAAGGCCGCTGAATTCAGTGCTGCGCCGCCATTAGCTTCCCAGGGCCGCTCGAGACTCGAGCCTCGTGCTCTGGCTCATTTGAGGCTGCTTGCAAGACAAACTCAAGCACATCGAAGGGTTTTAGACAATACCGCCTAAAAGACAAGGCCTGCACGTGACGTCATAGTTAGTGATTCCCGACCCGCCCCCAGCAGCAAACACGCTGAAGCCTGACAAGAGTATGGGCCACGTCACAACTACGTTACAGCGATAAGCACAAAACTGGCAGTACGAAGGTTGTCTGTTCTTCGTCTGTCGCTTGGTTTTTGCCCGCACTCCACAGTTGCAGCAGTATGTTTTCCGGGCTGCTTATGTAGTGGGAAACTGCTGACTGGGTTTTTGATAATATTTAGGACAAGTTCTGGAAGCAGCCGATTCTATTTGAAGCTTGCGGCACCCGTCTTAGTACGGCCGACGAAGACGCCGTGACCAATTCTACAACACGGTATGTACCGTCTGTTTTTTGTCTGTCTTTAAGCCGATGTGGCGATGAAGTATGCCATTCTTAACATGGAATACAATGACTTAGGTACTACACTTCCAGCTAAATCTGCGAACGCATTTGGACATGTTCTGGTATGTGTAAAAACATGACCGGGAGCACTTCGTAGTAATTTGTGGCCGTTCGTGTTGTTATCGGGTGATTTGGCGGCGATTCCAAATAGTTATTCCGTTTTATGAAACTCATGCACTCTTGCACTCAAAATGTTTCAAGCGCTAGCATAACGCCATAATCTTCAACTTGTGGCACAAATACCTGGTTCAGACATTTGCGTCGGTTGCGTCCACAGTAACCAAAACGACCGTGACGCATTCACCGGTACAATCGAGACTCAAGACTGCTTCTCGAATGTACTACTTGCACGGCTTTTCACGTTGTATGCGACAAAATATTTTCCGGGTGCAGGCAAAAACGTGTAACATGCTTCTAAAGTCTGTTTAGTCAAGAAGGTCCTGGTGGACAGATCAAGTTCTGGTGTAACTGTCCTCTGTTAATCCGACGATTCATATTTGTTCATAGAGTGCTACACAGACCTAATAAAGAAACCGGATTTTAAATTTTTATGCCATTTCTGCTTGAGTTACCTGGGTAACTCTTCAAATAAATATTTTATCTGATCGATGAGCAAAGCAAAAAGAGCAGTTACTGGTCAGACGCTACCCTGCTAGTTCTGTTCAGGGGAGATGCGTAAGACGAATATGTGCCAAGCAAATATCGAATAATTAAAAGTGCTACTGACATATCTTGAATATTGAGGTTGCAAAGCTGTTCATGTTTCTACCGATCTCAATTACATTGCTTTTAAATGCAATCTAAGAAAGAGTTTGTGATTCAAGCACCGGTCAAAGCTAATATTTAGTGGGAATAGTTTTTTTTTCAAAACAGAAAGTAAAAAATACAATTACGATCTAGACGTCACTAGTCAACTACACTTCGACTCGTTAAAACAATAGTAGAATCCTCAACCCAGTTACAGGTTTAGTTGCAGCGTGTTCTACTAACTCTGTTGAATAATAACAAAAATGAGAAAGTTCGGTTAACTGTGTCGATTCACTAGCGCCTGTGTTACTATTTATCGGTTTTGGAGTTGAAATGTAAAATGTCCAGCCAGGTTATAGGCAAACATCTTGCACATGTCCCGGAATGAAAGTTGGGGATGACTATTTTTACAGTCGCGTTTTATTACGTTACGTAAAATGCGCCGGCGAGTGACTATCCCCGTTCCTACGTTACTGTTATTTTACGCTTGAAATGGTACATCTGTGCTTCGCATTCCGCGTACCAAGCTACTTATCTAATAGGTTGTAACTCTTGGTACGGAACGCGGATGTCCACGTGATTTACGGTCATATCTCGACTCCTTGATATGGTTCCTATACTCCAAATAAAACACGATTGTCCCGGTAATTCACTATTGCATTTGACATAAGCAGTCGTAACGTAGGGCGATGCAGTTCTCAAACCTACGGCGGAATATGCACATAGACGCTTTGCAGACGAGCTAGATTACAGCCGCCGCTGCTGACCTTCTATCGTCTTAGCCAGGTGCCAGGCCACTGAAGCGGGCGTTTCCGAGCCTTTACAAAAGGCAATGCTGGGGAGAAGGACATATTAGAATTCAAAATAGCAAAAACTTATTCTTTTGTGGTCATGATGATATGAAGTAAACGTAGGAACTAGAAACAAAAATTTGAAGGTCGGTTATGGCGGCGCTCATGCACAGCTGCTGCAAAGCGTCTATACGCATCACGATGTACATGCGCACCTTTGAGTGTTGGGACACAACAATGTACTTCGGAAGGGCTTGCAATCACTGTCTCCTTCGTGGTTCATCCATCGGGAACGCAAAAGCAGGTATTGCGCCATGAGACCTGTGCTCATTTGACACAGCAGTGCCAAGGCATTTTTCACGCATGCATTGGACGCTCCACATGAACTTCTCACTTCATCGTCTGCTATGAATATACACTCGGAGTGAGCGTCTGTTTCACTATATTGTACGAAAACCACTGAAGCAGGCGGTGGAGCGGACAATGGAGCAGACGATGTAGTAGACGATGGCGCTCATCCGGGCCACATACGGGGCCCTGAGTGTATCCACTAGTGATAATAACATTTAGAGGATGAAACGCGCAGGCCTTGCGTTCTGGATGATATTGCTTTAGACCCCTCGAGCGGCGCACCGCTGCTGAAAAAAGGCCGTCGCAGCGTGTACGCGAGGGCTTCTTGAGTCGTGGTGTTGGCGATAAAAGTGAATAAATGACTGCGTGTTGCTGAACCAGAGCGTTGTATCATTTTTCGAGACGGGTAGTAGCAAACCAAAATCCTACAACGTATATGTCTAGTTGATTTTTGCATCGTGAACCTTTTATGCATTTACTAGATATTCCTCTCAAAACGTCACTTCTCAGTAAAAAAAAGAAAAATTAAATATGGGCCATACTCGAGCTGCGGATCCAAAAACCATTGCTTTTGCCTAATAGGATTGCGCGGACTATGAAGCAGGCTAGGACTATCCGGGAGGACAGGTTATGAACTGGAAACAAGTGAAATATATACTATAGAATACATAAAAAAGCTGCATGCGTATTCACTTACATCAGATGGAGGAGTAACTAATTTCAGCTTTATCCATAGCTTCAGAAACGCCTCACCAGTCAAAGAAAGATTTCTTTTGTAGAGTTTAGCTTCGCCTGTAAACAAAAATTAGTATAGGTGACGGCATTCAATGTACTAGATTGCTTCAAAAGTAAACGATAAAAATACCGTGGGAATATACTTATATATTATTAAATATATTATTTCGTCTATGTCTATTTCACAAGTCCTTTTGAGCCGCCTCGGTGGCTCCGAGGCGAGAGCGCCGGCCTACGGATCCCCATGTGGCGGGTTCGAATCCCGGCCGAGGTGCCCGCAATCTGACGGTGGCTGGGGATCTTTCGGTTGCACGTCGAAGTCCTCCGCTGGGGCGTGCCGGATGCCCGTCGTCGGTTTGGCACGTAAAACCCCAAATTTGACTTTTACAAGTCCTTTCATCACCCATATCTGCGCCACGATTTTATTTTGCCTCCCCAGTATATCTCATCTAGGTTGGATCATGCTTTCAAGGTTGGAATTCCACTCTGCAAAACTAACGCTTTTTTTCATTCCTTTTTCCCACGCACATCAGATGAGTGGAATCGCCTTCCCGCACCTACGGCAGCCATCGAAGGCCACAATCTTTTCCAGAACGCTTTAGCTATCATTGTATGATTAGGAGCCTCTTATTTGTCTTTATTAATAACTGCACAATGTTGTACTATCTTATGAAATGTAATCCACTCTCCTCTATAATGCCTCAGGCCTTGAGGGTAAATAAATAAATAAATAAATAAATAATTGAACTAGAGGCTAAAAAACTCAAGGACTCACAAGAAAGATACACATGGGACAGGACCTGCACCCATCCGCCGGAATGAAGTAGCGGTGCTTATATTCTGTATTCATTCCACCTGACTCGTTTGTTTTACTGTATTCATTTTATATAACTACCGTATTGTTCAATCTTTTTTTAGGGTATCTAATTATATTGTAATATGCACATATCCTTTTATACCTAACATACTGTTTTTGAACTTGGTCAAAATGCCACGCGACTCATAGCAAAGATTATCTCAATAAAAAATGGTGTTTTGTGAAAACATATAGTGGCAGTGAAAACAGTCACGAAGTTCATCAATGGAAACCTTGATAATGCCGACTGAATTTAAACGTTATTACACGTTTTCTATTAATATGTCGAGTAATATTATAATTGCTGAACAAGAAATGAAAGTTCCACCTAGTTTTAATGAATAGTTCCAAATATACAAAAAAATATCAACGGGTACATCAGTACTTAAATATTCATAATTAATTCGTGATTGTCACTGCCTGAGAAACTGACACATTGAAATAAGCTGAAAAATAAAGACAAGCGGCTGTCGTCTAAGACCAATACCTGTGAGGCGTACCTGTAATTAAGCTCACAGACACACCAACCAAAATCATGAAGAGGACTGATATAAAACCACTCCAGTATGCCGAAACCTGGTAGAAATACGGTATACCGACGAATCTGTAAAAAAGTAATTGTATTCCATAATTAGCATAATTTACATTTTTAATTAGGTATAAAAGATGCACGCTATAGAGAGGTGTTCAAAAACCTATAAAAACGTTTGCTCGGATCTATTTCTTACTCTAAGGCGTAGCAGAGAACAATTATTAGCTCATTTTAGCGGGTTTGCGGAAGGAAAGGACAACAATACTGCCTCAATGACAAAATCGTCGGCCCCTAGTGCTTTCTCATAAAATTTAGGAAATTTTACTTGTAGGTGATGGTTTTATTACAGTATCGTTTGCTTGGAGCCCTAAAAATATGTTATGAAACATTTATGAACCTTCGAATTTGCGTGGACAAACCAATAATATAAAAATGCTCACTTACTCATTGGATCCGATGAATTGAGTTGTTGCATTCGTAACGTTACTGACACATCCGTCAATAGATACTGGCATCCAGGGAGGCTTTACGTTATAATAAAACTTTCCGGCTGTTTGCCAGAACTGGATTCCGGTGGCAAATAAAATCGCAGTGGCTGCGCCCTGCAGATAGTTATTTCGTATTATTAGGAGGGCAATCAGTTCGCATTTTGTCTACTTCGTCTCCGCGCAAAATTTGAATATTAACCTTAGAGAATTACACCATAAAATCTTGGAAGCTTCGGGCAATATATTTCCCCTTGATTCGCCAGAAAGTTTATTGGTGTTTCATTAATTTATTTGACTGATATGATAGACGAGCGGTGTCATACCGGGTTCAAGGATACACAGCTTCCTTAGCAAAAAGATTTCAATATTTTTGTTAATCCTGATTGCATAAGAAATGTGGCGCATAACCAATCGCAATATTCATTGGTTTAACTGATTTACAAAGTGCCAGCAATGTTTGTTTCGAGTGTATTACACGGCAGTATATGGGCGCCCCAGTGTGCGCCAAGAAGTGAAAGAGTATCATACCTTTCTGCCAACACATGGAAAGACAAATCCAAGGAGTACTATTGCAACGAAGGGGCTCGCCACCGACGAGTAAAACATAATTAAAACCTGCAATATTAATAAAGGAGTGGTTCGTTAAAGGGCCCATGAAACGATTTTTGGGTTGGGATAAATCATTTGAGATTGGGATTTTACTAATAGAACATCGTTCAGTGGGCCAAAAGAAAAAAGGTAAAAAGTCAAAAGCCTGACATTCAGTGCGAAATTTTGAAAACACAGCGGACTATTTCGTTCCTTCTCCCCTTCGTAACCGCTCTGCCTTTTCACGGGAATACATCCGCGGTCCCAAAAGCGTGTCATCGGGTCCAAACTGACGTCACACAAAACCGGACCTCATTTAGTACCGTCACCCCTAAGCTGACATTGTGGTGGAAGCTACGCGCTTGCCGGACCAATCAGCCACCTCCGTTTCATCACCTGACTTCATTCTCTGCAGCCACATTTGCCACGCTTACGTGGCAAAAGTGTGGTTAGCCCAAGGAGCACGTAGCTTCCACAGCACTGTCAGCTTAGGGGTGAACGGGCTAGGGAAAGAAACTTTTGTCTGGGTTTTGAGCGACGGGCTAATCTTCTAGGGGGAGAATGGATGTGTCCGGGGATTACACAAACCAGGTTCCGAGCTAGAGGGGCCTCCCTTCTTTTCGCCTTCTTGAACTGTTTGGTGGAATGCGCGATTTATGAGTTGAGGAGGAAAGCGAAACAGGAAAAAGTTGGAAAAGCGTTTCATGACCCCTTTAAGAACTTCTACTGGTGTCCACGCTGCTGTAAATATCAAGACACTCCAATGTTAAACAAATTTATATTTTAGATGCTTCATGTTTTCTGCGATTAGCTTCCGTCTTCCATATATCGTAACATTATTTGTGTTGAAACAACCCGCAAAAACGTATAAATAAATATAATATTTAATGAAATCCGACAACATATTCGATAATTTTCGTGCAAGCTAGTCTTGTCAATATGAGGTACGCTGGTTGTATCAGTAATACGGGTCATCTCCGGTCTACTAACGTGTAAAAGTTGTTGGTTTAATCGAGTGTATTGCTTATTTCAAAAAACTATCTCTGTGTTTTTTTAAATATACACATAAACACGTTTTGTGCCGATTTGTTGGGAAGACGGCATATGTACAATTAAACTAGATATTTCAAATACGTAATATTGTTTGTAATGATACCGCTACCCCCTTTTTATCGAGTGTAATTGCATGGATTGCATTTATAAACAAATAATTGTAATGCATTACATTTAGTATAAATTTGCTCTGTTCAGTGTAACGGATTGCAAGAAAAGGTGAGGTATAGTAACATAATATATTTTATTGCCATGTCATGTCTGAAATGTAAAGACTTACATGTTGTACTTTGATTTGTGCCATTCAAATAGTTTGATTCCCATGTTTTCATCGGTTCATGAGTATGTGCATTAAATCAGGATATAGTTGGGGAAATTCTTATTAGCACTTGAATATTAGAGCCTTGCCGGAAAACCCATAACATCTACAAAATAATTGTTTTTATTTTGACTTCTAACGATGTCGTAATGCACGTAATGAGTTAATTAAAAACCTCCACCCTCCAACACTTACTCTAACAGCGGATCCGAGGTAAGGAACGATGACTCCGTAAACCGTCATGAATGTTCCAAAAGAAAATGCTAGAAAGAAATTAGGTTTAGTATGTTACTTTTCAGCAGCGGCGTCGAAAGATGTTTTTATACAATTTAAAGTATGAGAGAAATCTGCAAGATAAGAGCACTGCTTCCTAAAAATTTAAACGCCTGGTCAGGACACTTATTTTATCAAATGACTTTTTTCTGAATGGAAAAAAAAGAAAAGGCAAACCTAGTTGAGGAATATTTTTGACACGCGGTGCCGTTTACAAGGATCATTTATGCAGAGCACGACCTGTTATGTACTGATTGACTGGTCGGCACCTTCAGCTTCTGACCACCGGCGAGGCTGGTGCACCGAGCGCTCGTGCGTTACATGCGTGGGCCGGACGAACGCCAGGCGCAAGTCAACCTGTTTGTGTATCGTCAACCACATATACAATTGTATTTAACACGACTCGTTTTTATAGCTCTTTATTATTTGCGCCATTTCTCAGTGCTGCGAGGCCGAAAGAGGAAAATGCAGGGAATTGAATATACGCCTAGGGTGTATCTCTTCTTTCCGCTTCTTCCAGCCAATGGTTGTTTTTGAAAATGACATATTATAAGGGCACTATATATGACGTTGTTCTTTAAATAGATATTATTTTTAACAAGCCCGCAAGCATAAAATATTTTTTTAGAATCCAAAACCGAAAATTATTGCCGTGGAGTCAATATTGAGTTGAACAATTGTGGAAAGTAAATTTTGTGCCATATTTGTCATATTTGGGCAGTAAGTATAATGTCTTTGGGAAGTGCCTTTTTAATGGACTTCCTGAATAAGTACTAGCCCGAAAATATTGACTAGGTTTAACTTGAGAGTAAAGTATGTTCGATGCGGAAAACTGTGCTCGTAAGATCGTATGCTATGCATGCTGTCGGTACATCGCTATAAAACACATTTCGCTATATAAAAATTATACCTAATTATGTTCCGTTCCAATGGCTAGATGACTGCATAAAACATGTTGCACAAAACCGAATCAAAGGCAAAAATAAGCGCCTGCAAATTGCAACTGCAATCCAAAAATTAAAGCAAGAGAACAGCACAGCATCAATGCTTTTCTTTTCATCATCTGGTGTTTTCTTTTCTTTTATATTCTCCCGGTGTTCCGGGTGACACCGGTAGAGCTGCATAAAGTTTTCAGTTTTTTTTTTTTTTCAAGCGGTATTCTTACTATGAAACTCTCGTCTTAAATTAGCTGTGGCATTTCTCAATAGAAAATAATCTAGATATTTCCTAAGCACTTTTCGTACCATGGGAATAATTTCCCAAATTCATCATTAATGCATATCAGTAACTTAATCCATAGCCGCATAGCTTGGATACTAATAACTGCCTGTGACAAATATAAACTTTTACTGTCTCTTTGTTAGCCACATATGTTACATTTAATATGTATACAAACTACCGCTTCTTTAGCAAATATGATATACTGGTGAGGTTTGTGGTATACCTAATAGCTTTACAACCAAAGAGGCTTTTCTATCGCTCATCTTCACTGCTGGTGAAATCACGTCCACGTAGAATACAGCCGCCTCTGAGTTTATAATTGATGAAGTGGTGCTAGAATGAAAAAAGAAAAAAGTATAACTTTAATGTTGTGCGTAACTATACCCATGTGAAGTACATTATGAAAGACGATAGACGATGGCAAGCAAATGCAACTAAGATAAAACCTGGCACGTCGTTGCACAAATGAGTTCTTGGTTGTTGTTGTTTTCAGGTAGCTGGCATTTTGTACCAAACGAAAGCTTTCTGCAGCTTAAATAGAAATGTGCATCAAATTTTTCAGCATACAGGTAATCATAGACCTTTTTTTGCTGTTTCCAAACAAAATGCTGTTTGCGTCCTAAACGACTTCAAGTCGCTCAGTCTTTAGAAGCCTGGCAAGCTTACTTATGTCACCAGTACTAAAAATAGTAAATGCTACACGGACAACAAAGTTAAAAGTTTAACGAGGGCTTTCGGCTCTACAACCTAGCGCCTTGGAGGAGGCAATTTGGTTTACAAGAATATTCGAAAACGTTTAACAGATCTCGCGATTAATCGCTCTTTTGGCAGTCATCTGGAGAATCGGTTCTTAAACGTTTCATCGATGTTTTAAACAGCCATATAAAGGTGAGTTTTGTTCATCATTTTTATGATCCGGAAGTTCTTGGACGTCAAAGACTGGGACACCACCTAGTGGCTTTTGCCATGAAAAAGGTCTATACCGCTTTGAACGCACCATTCACAAACACCTTGCGAGAAGGATAACAAAGTTCTACTGCAGTTTAAAAAGTTACGAGCACACCTAGAAATAATCGCTGCATAAAAAAAACGGTTCTAGCTGGGCTAGTTGCTTTATAACTGGAACATCAAAGCGACAAAACACACAGAAGAAAGACAAGTTGTTTCAGTACAGCGGTCTTGTCCGATCTACTTTTGGATGTTTTTTCAGGCGTTTCAAACATTTGACTTTAATCACAAATTAGAGCTCTAATTTATTTTCTCTTGTACTTTGTTTCACCTTCAAGTTCAGACAGAACCGACGCTATAAGCTAATGTGACTAATCAAGCAGTGCGAAAAGCGCAAGTGACTGGGGATTTTCTATTTATGATTGGTTTAGCGATAATTGAACACGTACAGAAACATGACGAGCACCGTGATGCTGCCCTTTTGACGCTGTCTGAGGGATCCCATCAGCTCGTAGCGTCGGCTGTGTCTGAACTTCAAGGTGAAACAAAGCATAGCTTCAACAGTAAGGACTGCGGTTGTCTTGTTAGTATTTCCTCCTGATAGCGCAGAAAGCTAGAGTTTTTTTTTTTGTTTTTTGTTTTTTCAAGGAAGCCAAGATCACTGAAACGGTAAATTCAAGCCTTGTGACTTCTCAAGTGATTTGTTCCATTGGGTTAATATTTTTTGTCTTTTCTTGTACCACTTTCTCTAGTCAAGGACTGTTTGATATTTTAAGGCGACATATAAAACATGAGTTCGCTCATGTAAATATTTACTGGTGGTAACCAAGCTCAATGTAACCGCGTACTTCACGGAGAGATCTATCGGGAGCAGATATTTATTAAACAAAGTTGTGGTAAAAGCAACTGAAGTATTTGCAAGAAATGAATCCGGGTGTTAATTTTTTTTTTTTTTTTAGTTTCAGGCCGCAATAAAGTTTTGATACTTGACTTTTTTTTAGACACAAACTTAAGTTTCGAAAACATTCAATTACCTCGTGGCAGCGCATACGACGCCTGTGAGAAATAATCCTGAAAATCCCGGGAAGTCGCTGAGGTATTCCTTCACGTAGTATGGAAGTAGCTGAAATTAATCACTGCTTTTTAGCGTTCATTTCAATCAAAGAAGGAGCAACCTTTCTATTTCACACATTATGACTGCACGTGCATTGAGAATTATCTGTGCTCACAGCAAAAGTTTATATAAGCTCTTTTGTGTGCACAGTTATGAGGTGTCAGGCAAACTCAAAGAGAGTTTCTAGGAAGAGAGACCAAACGCAAAAATAATACCTTAAAAGATGCTATAGACGGTTATAGGTCAAAAACGATGTGGAAGCTCCTCCCACCCCTTTCCACTTTAACAGAGCGAACGCTGGAGAGAGGTCGCCTCCTCTCCAGCGTTCGCTCTGCTAAACTGGAGAGAGATGGGAGGAGCTTCCACTTAGTTCTTGACCTGTCGCCGACTATAGTTGCTAGCGAAACGGCAAACAGCGCACAGTAAACGGGGACTAAAGGAAGCACAAACAGGACAACCGCTGACTCTCAACTAAATTTTAATCACATGGAAACAAAACAAAGAAAACAGCAACCTCGCCCGCGTCAGATGATATATTCACCACGTGTTTAAAAAAACAATCTCTTTACTACTTAAGCCCAGTGACGTTTGACTTACGCAGTTGGCAACTGCTTTGATAATTGCATGCGCCTCTAAAATTTCTCTTTTCACTCTGTCCCTTCCATAGCCAATAATACCAGCCTTGCTGAAAATAGGTTTGCACCCACATCTATGACAATGCAATGGCAGATGCCCCCATACAGCACCCACCACTGATCGCAACGACAAGTCATGCTCCCGCAGTCTGTGATTTAACGTATCTGCCCGTTTGACCGACGTAGGCTGTAGGGGGGCATCTGCCGTTGCATTGCCATGAATGTGGGTGCAAACCTATCTTCAGCAAGACTGGGGTTATTGGCTGTGGAAGGGACAGAGTGAACAGAGAAATTTTAGAGGCGCGTGCAATTATCAAAGCAGGCCCCAACGGCGTAAGTCAAACGTGAACGAGCTTAAGTAATAAAGATATTGTTTTTTTGTTTTTGTTTTTACACGTGGTGAATTTATCATGTGACGCGGGTGGGGTAGCTGTTTTCTTTGTTTTGTTTCCATGTGATTAAAGTTCAGTTGCGAGTCAGCGCTTGTCCTGTTTGCACTTCCTTTAGTCCCCGTTTGCTGTGGGCTGTTTGCCTTTTCGTCAGTATGAACCAACTAACCCACATCACCACCCTTATATAGTTGCTACTTTGATGCAAAGGAAAGTGCCAACTACTTCAGCGTGCGGAGGGATCCAGTTGAAGATTAGAGCCGGCAAAAACATTTCATGCGTCATTTTAGCATTTAAGTTGTTTATAATTAATTTATAATCTCACCGCTTGTGCATAATTAGTGTCATAAACTCTTCAGGAGAACAAAAATACATTTAAAGAAGAATTTATAAGTTAGTTAATTATTTTGTTTTATTACTTTTGATGGGAATGCTTTTAAAGCGTCAACTTATAGCCTAGGCTTGCTCTAAATCTCAGTACTCTCAAGGCTCTTTCTTCTATGCGGGAATTAGACGGAAGAAACTTTTTTAGATGATAGTATTTTGTGCACTAAACTATAACTTGCAATGTGCTAAAAGAATGCTTAGGCAATGAGAATGAAAAATAAAACCTACCTCGTCAAATCTGGTGATTGAGCCAGAGTGAAGTGGATCGCAATCGCTAAACCAGTACACAAGCGCAAACGCCATGCCACTCATACAAAATGTGTAAAAGATGTTGAGTGCAATAGCCATCCACGCAATTCTGAAAGTGTAGGTTGTTGGTTAGAAAACGTCCACCTGAGATTACACTCAGAACATTAAAAGAACTGCATGAGGCGTTGTTAAAAAGGACCTTAAATTGAAATACCCCTAAACTAAGGAACTTTCTATTTCAAACTGTTCAGCTACTGTTCACAATGATGGATAACACTCAGACTGGCAAGGGGAGGGGTTACACAGAAAGCTGGGAGAAACAGTGTTGGTAGGATCATTCTTTTTATTGTGGGTGCCAATAATCAAAAAGTAGCACTCAAGAAGCGATCAAGCAAACCATTTTAGCTATTATTGTTATAAGCTCCTGTAGTATTCATAGAGGAGTTTATAGTCCAATGCTCTAATATTGAAAAAAAACGTAATTTCTAAGTACGCTTATAAACACTGTTTGCTTTCTAAGGCTAGGTTATGCGACAGAACGTGTGGTTTGCCTTGGTAAAAAAAGGAACTCGCATCTTGTCGGGACTGTTTCACGAGTGATATTTTGACGCTCTAAATTTTAGGCAGGACAGTAATCTATAATTATATCTGTAGTAGTTTCAAAATATTTAAGTTGTTGCACCTTTAAAATATGTAAAGTCTTGTTACGTACATGATGTAGTAGTGTATGTACGCAAAATGAAATTTTTTACGTGACTAGTTTATACATAGTGTATATCAGATTCATATCAGAATATTCAGCGCAGCCTAGATGTAGGTTCCACCTGAAGCTTCTGTAGGCATACCGCCCTTCGAGTAACTTATATCACCGTATATTCTCTTTATTCAATAGATTTAGCCAAAGAAATATCATTGCAGCGTGAGAGGCAGTGCTCTCATTTTTCGGTGAGGGCATTGTCTCAAAGTAAAAAGGAGTAGACACATGTTGCGACCAAATCACGATACCAGTCGGTCTTCTTAATTGAAAAAGTCATTAGATAATGAGCAAAACATTGGTGTTCCGAGTCACAGTTTATAACCAGAAGCTTGTGAGGCTAAGGAATAAAATATTATTTCAAGTTCAAGTTCATTGCCCTCAAGGATACTCCTATGAATGTATTACACGAGGCGAAGGGGAAGGAAACAGAACGTCTTAAATGCATTCGGAATCTACTAAATAACTTCACAAATATACATGAGCAAAATTTAGGCTGGCTAAACAAAGTTAGACAGTCATTTGTGATTTTATTACTAACAATATAACGAGTCAGAGAGTAGAAGGAAATCACGAAAGTGGAGTTGACCATTTTGCGCAAAATTAAAGACAATTTTAACATGCAGAGATATGTCCCCACATTTATGTTAACTATTTAAACAGGCGGAAGTAAGCTACACATTGAGATATTTGGCACCTAATAAAGACAAATTGTACAAAGCAAAAAGAAAAAAAAAATCGCAAAAGCAGAGGTAAATATTTATCACTAAATACAGAAGGATCGCATTCGGTAGCAACTTCGTCAATGCTAGAAAATGCAGTTTAAAATCGAGTGTGCAAGAGGTGAGGCCTTGAATCTAGAAGTGCCACCGAATATTGGTTCAATTTTTAGGGAGTGCTCATGGCGTAGCTAGTTCACAGAATTTAAAAGTGGCCTTCTATGAGTTACTTACAGCAATAATCGATGCACTGTGAATAAAAAAAAAAAACGTAAGCAAAAACGTATTCTCGAAAGGGCGCTGTCTTCTTGCTTGCGTTATTTATGTATTTATTTAATTATTTATTTATCTATATGGACGAAATAGTTGAAGATTCGCTCACTTTATTTATACCCTGCTCTCGAGTTTCTTAATTGAATGCTTTCTCACGAGAGTCTAATAAAGACCAATGCCATGAAAAAATATTAGTACTTCTGTGCATCCTTGAGTGTCTTCGCCGCAAAGTAACGCTGGACGACCATTTGATCCACACCTTGGCGATACAGGAATGTGATGCTGAGACCGAAAATGCACGCCCACACGTTTTCGTCGTTGGTGATCGTGGCACTTGCACTGGAAATGGAGACAAACGTATCGTATTATGACTGTTATAGGACGGACTCGCCGATTTTGTGTGTTTGTGTGCGCGTGTGTGCGGGCGTGTGTGCGTGTGCGTACGTGTGCGTGCGTGTGTGTGCGTGCGTGCATGTGCGTGTGCGTGAGCGCGTGCGCACGCGCACGTGTGTGTGTGGGGTGGGTGGGTGGGTGGGTGGGCACGTGCGTGCGTGCGTGTGTTGTTATAAATGAGTATTCAAATTTTATCGTGAGCATGACTCAAAATTGAGATTGGCAACCGGCTCATAGAAAATATAAGCAAAACAAACGGGTAAAATACTTCGTTTACAATCTAGACGTCGGTAGTAGGCGGTACAAAAATGGAAAACAGTGACAATTCTTGTCCTAAAAATAAAACATGATTACAAAGAAAGTTTTTCCGTAGCCTTCATTGGTGCGCACAACGACTCATTATTTACTGACAGAAGGTAGTCAATGTTCATTAACTTTTTTTTCGTAATCTTATATTATTCCTTTTCAGCTTACAAAAACAAATAGCCGGATTGGTCCTCACTAATTTGCAAGTCGCAGTGTCAAAAACGTCGTGCACATCTTTTTATAGTCAAACAGCGCGGCGATAAAGCTAACCTTGCGGAACTTATTGATTGAACTTATCACAGAAACAGTAATGTTTGGCGCTTCTACTCTATCATGGTAGAGATCACACTCAGGGACTTTCGGGGGTGTTAGAACACGGGCCTACTTAAATCGAGAATTAAAAAAATAACTTGCATAGATTTAATGTTTTTACGCTAAGGATAAACCCAAGCAGCACAGAGTTGGCCAAGCATTGGCCAATGGCTGGCAATGGTCCTTTGGCCAGTGGCCAGACAGTGGCCAGAGATTGGCGGATGACTGGCTTTTCTCTGGCCATTGGCCAATGGCCACTGGCCATCAGCCATCGGCCAAGCATTGGCCAATGAAGGGCCACTCTTTGGCCACTGGCCACGAGACCATCCCCAGCCATTGGCCATTGCTTGGCAATAATCCCTGCTGCTTGGGAACTCTAACATATATCGATTCGAACCATGGCGGCAGCTTTGTGCTCTCTTTAAAAAAATTTTCGTTGCCAGAGTCCGAATTGAACTATTATTGTCTACCGTAGCGGAGCTTTCGACTTTCGCGCATATTTTTTCCGCTCCCCTCCAGGAATATTCGACGAAGCAAAGTGCCTGTTATTAGCAGGACAGGGGTACCTCTCCACATGAAACAATTTCGAAATCGCCATTAGACCACCTCTGTTCCCGCTTCAATTACGATATTCTTAAATAAGGACGATTTATTTATAAACAAGAATTAATCACCAAAAGGCAGCCTCTCTTTTATACACCTGCGCTTTTTAGTGCACGGTGTTTAGACGGTGAATTGGGCTACTGAATTATTTTAATTCTCGGAAATACAACCCAGGAGAACAAAAAAAAATGTATTGAAAATTATGTTTTGTGTGTCGTTTTCTTGTAAACGTTGCCCATTCCCTGGGTTTTTCGATATGAAACACTCTTTATTTTATACAAAAAAAACACTTAATATAATTTGTAGGATGATTCAGTTCCTGCAAGTGTAGCTCGTAAAATGGCATTTGCTCGCGCGCTTTGTTTGGGCGATTGCTTGCCTATAATAAAATAGTGTGCATAATAATTTTTATTTCACTTTTCTCAACAACTCGTATTTCACTGCAGTCGTCTATTTGTTATAAAGATTAGCGAGATTGAAATTTCATACTCAAGCATGTATCGTCCGAACGGAACGTCTGTCACTGGAGGCAATACTTTTTTATTGTTGGCGGAGTCGTATATGACTTTTGTAATCACCGTTACAGGAGCCATCAATATCAGGATTCCTTGCATGCAGTCGGTCCACACAACACCACGAAGTCCTCCCTGTTGTGAGATAAAAGGAATTGTGTATACCGAATAAACGTCTGAGAAAATGAAAAGTTCCGCAATGAGTCTAAGGAGAGTATATAACTTCTTGGTTGATGTAAACGCATGCGTACCTTGTGCTTAAAAGCCCTAAGAAGCTAAAGTGAACAAGTAGGGGTTGAGTCATTGGAACATAAGAAGCAATGTTTATGAAAGATTTCTACCTTCACAGGCATTAATAATCACAAAATCTTTTACATCAGCGCTCTAATAAGAACACGTTGCTTATAGCCTAAACAAAGGGGATTACATTATTAGTGTAATCGATATAATCTAGCATTTTACTATAAACATAAGCTTTTGAAGAACTCAGAAACGCGAAATTACGCCAAAATAATAAAGGAAGGTAATTAAAGAATTACTTACAAGGGCTGTATATATTGTACCGGCTAATCCAATTGTAAGTGTGGAAAAGAGCAGTCGAACAGTGAAAACTGAAACGAGAGTCAGTGTTGATATCGCATAGATTGTTAGCATTGGAATTAAATTTGTCTTACGTGGAAACTATTTTTTGCTCTGCAGAAATAAGCACACAATCATTTATTTGACAGCAGTACTTCTAGTTAAATACACGTCTTTCTATATATCTAGAATATATGCATAACGTAACTATTTAATTTGCAGCATATTATAGTGTGGAATTCAAATTGAAAAAAGGAAGAGCCAAAAGATCAGACACACACATATATGCGCGCGCGCGCGCGCACTCACGCACGCACACACACATACACAGACACACACACACACACACAGACACACACACATTCACACGCATGCACACACACCCAAAATGGGGAGCACATGGTTACACTCCTCGTTTTGGAACTATTGTTGTAAACTTAAAAAACGATGGCGTCGTACAGCGCCGCTGATTTCACTAAATTTGCATCAAAGAGCGTTAGTGTACGCGGTAACTATTAGTTGTAGCTCTCTCAATATATATAGCTAAACGTACGTTATAAATGCGAGAATGAATAATATTTTAAACTGATACATTGTGCAGCTGACGGCACAGTGGGAAAAGGTTCGCCAAAAACATCAAAATTCCATTATTGTTAAAATTCATTACTTAGCCGAATATAACGTTCTACTTAATTGAGGATGTCATATTCACTTAGGTGACTTGCGCTAAAGTAGTTGAATAAGAATTTACAACTGTATGCTTAACTTCCATATGTCTAACAAAATAAATAGGGATTGACATACGAACTCCACTGCCCGAAACTCTTTCTGGCTCGTTAATGTATACTCTACCACGATACACTGGAAAATGCATCACTGGGTTCCTTGTAGGAGACTATTCATTGCCAAGGGTGATTGCTATTATGCGTCAGAGGATAAGCAGTTTCATATGCAAAAAGGTGAAAGCGTTATTCCACTGAGACTGCATTAAGATGTGATACCGCTTGCCATTCTCGTTCGTTAAGCTGAATAAAATGATACCAAAGGTTGGTGATTTATGGATCAGCATACACGCACTAATATATCAGAGTGAACTCAAAACTTTAAAATTACATATTCATTTTTTTAGCTGATGGTTTTATAGTGCGTAGAACACGCCGTGATTGCTGTGAACACTTTGCTACTTCAGTTGACCTACTTGTAGAAACGGCCACGGATGCCGAATAGAGCGCCACAGCTCCAAGTGATTGCTGGAATAAAAGAAACAGGTTTTACAGAGTTTTCGTATCAATCAATGGCACGACTGCTTTCTTAAATCCTAACATTCCGAATGGTTTATGAACCACTATATTGCATGCCAATGTCACAAACAAACGTTTTGTGCCGTGTTCCGCCACCTGGATATGTGTACGTTTTTGACTTGCGTAGATGAAATGTACAAGCAAGCGGCTTCAATAAAATAAGTTGGAAGTGTTACATGCACTTTTTGGAGACATGTCTGATATTAATACTGTAAAGACTGTAATGAAATAGACAAATACTTACACTCATCAGAATATAAAGACCGCAGCTCACAAGGCCTATATTTCGGCCGAACCTCATGCGGACGTACTGAAAACAGAAATATTCATCTCATAGATTAAACTTGACAGTTGTAGTTTAGTAAAGAGGAACATCCAGGGTTTTTCATATATGAATTTTAAAAATAGTACAACTTCTGTAATGTTCACTGGCACACTATAAACAATTTAATTAGTCTATGTTTCACCAGGGCATTCGAGATGGCAATCTCTCCAACTAGAAAATAAATGTTGTGAAATGAAGGGACTTTAAAACCCTCTTCATATATATATTTTATGTGCACGTTTTATACTTTTAAGCCTTAGGCTTAAACCTACATATCTTACTGCTGTTTAAGGTTTAATAAAATATCAATGGGCAACATATAACCATATCATTGCCTCTTCCCTTGTGGTAAAAGGCAGCTTGGTGATCAAAAGAAATGTGTAGTCAAGGGCAAAAAACATTACGATCCCCACTATTACACCATGCTATGTAGACGGGAGATGATTTTATTAGTTATTCTACATGTAAAACATTATTTATTTATTTATTTATTTGTAAATATTGTGCGCCCTCCTGGGCGCTTTACAGGAGTGGAACCGCAGTTTTTATATCATGCAATATTATATACATTTCTTAACACTTTATACATTTCATATCAATTTGCAAAACCGCACTGTTTCGCATCACGCTACACAAGCTATCAATGTACCTAATCAAGAAGATAACACTTCTCTTACTCACTCATAGAGAGAAATGACAAGTCTAATATAATTCAAGTAAATATTTCTCGAATTAGGGTAATAGTCACAATTCACAACACTTTCGGGAAGCTTGTTCCACCATTCCACTCTTCTAACAAAATATGAATACTTGTATGTGGCATCATTAACTCCCGGAACTTCCATAGCCCTATTGTGTACCCCCCTTATTGGTCTACTAATACGTGGTTGAAAGAAATGAGATGTGTCCATATTTAGTAGGTCCTTTGAAAACATATAAATAAGTTTTAGCCTTGATATCTCTTTTTAGCTGATCTTTTCAAGACTTCTCTGCTAACGCTCTTTTATGTTAGCATGAGCATTAAACTTACACACCAAATAGGTTTAGAGTTACTTAAGTCAGAGCAGGTTCTTGCAACGCCTCCTCCAGAAAGATGCTTGTCAGATGGCTCGCTCTACATTTGCGGCCGGCCTGCCTTTGAATTGTAGACAAGCGCCACGTGGTGGCACCCGCCTCCAATATTTCTCCGCGCTATCGCGTCCCGTTTCTAGTGCTGCAGCACTAGAAACCGGACTGGCTGCACCATGGTTCAGCTAGTCGCCTCTTAATAACACAGTAAGCAAAGTAATTTCGTGAGAACGTGGTTTTTTGCATCTTGAGAAAGCATATTTCTCAAGATGCAAAAAGTACCAACATTTTGTGCCAGCGAAATATTTCCGAAACAAACAATTCGCAAAATATTAAACCCACAAAAATAAGGTCGTTTACGATATATCCATTCATGTGTTACTGCAGAAAGGAAAGAATGGACTGTGAAGACGAGTTTTTAGAGTGTTGCAGCTATCATGCAAACTGTGTGTTAAGGACGGCCATTAACATCTGGTTTTCAAAATACATTTCCGACACACATTCTACATTAAAAGAGATGGCAGAAATGCAAATTCACGTGCATGGTAGGACGTTATTTGGGCATTTCGGCTGTCAAGATGTACGAGCCCGATGCTGCTACAACTTCAACACTTTGTGGGATAGGGGTGTCAGGGTGGCGGGGGGCTGTCGCCTTGTCAGGCATGTCGATGCCTTTTGTGACGGCCCCCGAGACAGCTGTATTCCTCGACGGTTGTCTAAATAAACTTTGATTTGATTTGATATATATGATGGAATAACACTTTGCAAACTTAGCTGTTTGTATGTCTCGTATTCTTGCAGACCAAATACACGCACCAAATAAGTTGATATAGAGTCAGTGACGAGCGGAGAATATAGAATATTTCTACACTAAATTTAAATGAAAGTGTCGAATTCTTTCACCGTCGTGAAAATCGTACTTTAAAACGCCGCTGTGAATCGTGGGCTCTACGACTTCGAATGCAGGGCGAAGCGGTGGAAGATATTCCCTTTGGCGTTTGTGTACGACGAAATTATTAGCTGGCAGCGAGTGGACCTTGCGTGATATCGCGCGACATGTACATGAGGGTTGGAAGAGCTTCTGCCTTAACCTGTAATACCTCCTGTGGTAAGTCGACTCAGAGATTCAGAGGTTAGAAGAAAATGAACAAAAAGAAGGAAACAGGGGTCCGGCAAAGCGTCACCGTATCGTAACCCTTTATGCGCAGCGAGTGCACCGAATAAATGCTTCTGTGGTGAAACAATCCCTATATGCTCGTGTGTTCGCACAGAGTCAAACGAGCAGAAATTATTCGGTGGTAGAGTGATTTGTTCTTGTTTTTGGAGTACTGACCGTAGCATTCTTAAGTAGTCATTAAATATTGACAGGTTACAATCGAACATTTAACTTGCAGGTATCCTCTTCCCTAATGTAGAAACAATAATTGCCTCTTTCAACTAAACCTGGTGATATGTTAAACATTTTGGCCACTATAACGCAAGAAGGCCAATTTGTGCTACCTTTCAGCTATACTTTTTGTTAAGTAGGTCTTTACTGCGGCGGACATTGCTAACTGTAACACACGAGTGGTTGCCGCTCCACGTAGACAGCGCCACAACGGGCGCTCTGGTGGGAATCTTGACGTTACTAGGGGTCTTGATTAGAGATACCAGACTAGGGAGTATTTGCGGCATCCCCGCCTTGCAGGGTGGCGCCCTATTTTAACCTGTGCCACTCCACTCCTTTATTTTATTTTATCGTCGTATATGGGCGCGCCGAAGTAAACGCTTGTGTATGAAGTTTAAAAGCGAAAGCAAGGTTGCAGAATTTTATCCAACGTCCAGTAACCCACCGAGGCGATATTACGAGCCTATACGGCGACAGTGTCTCCCCCGTACGAGAGGCGCACTACTGAGACACCAAAGCAGCCACTAAAGTTTCTAAGGAAACGGTGTAGTTTCTGCTTTCTACTGTAGTTATGGAATGGGTAAACTGCAGGGAGAAATTTCACTTGTCCCGCATCCAGCGCGACCTACCTAGTTTCAATAGCCTTTCGGCTTTTCTTGGGCTTAGAGTCTGCATTCGTAGTCAAAACACGTCACAAGACAAGGAGCGCGTTCTAAACGCCTAACATTAAAAAAGAAAAAAAAACTCCCTGCCGTTGTAATTTTGTCAGTGACAATAATTGCAGTACATTTCTGTGGCCACACGCCCTTTCGCTGCAGGTCTTAAAAAGAAGACGGCACCGCATATCAATAAGATTAACTTAGAGACGCATGTTCTTTCTAAAACAAATGCACTCTCAATCGTGGTGATTCTGGTGGAGAAACACGTACCAGATCGCTCGCGGCATTAGCAAACATTGTAATTACATATGACAGAATGAATCCGATATTTTAAAGCGCAAACGCTCACCTCAAAAATGGACGTCACTCGCTGTCTATAGAGCAAAGGCACCATGACGTTCATGACCATGGGCAAGACAACGATCTGAGACAGGAAAGCCCAGTTGAAGTAGAAGCCGTAGTAGTAGTAGTGGGCGACGAAACCGACTACGCCCAGAGCTGACATCATGGATGCGAGCACGGACATGGCCAGCGGAAAGCTGCCCAGAGATCGACTCGCCAGGAACATCTCGTCCGTGCCGGCTTTCTTCGATCGCTTTGCGAATGAGAAGTAGAGGCCTAGAGCTAGGTTAGCGGAGGTCAGCACCCCAAACAGGATGTACTCCAAAAGGGGGCCCATACTCGACGACGTCGTTTTGAACCAGCTTACTCGTAGAAATGTTTCGAGCCTTTTGGTGTTTCAATATACTCTGGAGCGAGCGAATCAGCCTGAAAATAAAATAAACTCGTTGAGAAGCTTGCTTTCTTCGTAAGCCTATTTGCTGTGTCACTTGCAAAGAAGCCTCCGGGACTCCTCAGTGTGGCGGCCGATGTTTCGATAGGGATGTTTGCAACTTCAGCCCTATCCTAATTACCCAATCTATATGGGCTGCCATTGATGATTTCTTTACAAATATAAACAATAATGTTGGCCGTGCAGGTACGATAAGTCATGTCATAAGCGATCATTCACCGATATCAGCGTGCTTTAAAACCCACTAATTATCTAGCGGCGCGAGTAAACATTTCCCTTTTCAACCTATCGCAGTCCGCCAACTGCGATGTCTGCAAAATACAGTTATGGAACTGATTGGAGCACTGTAGTTTTGAAACAGTACGTGAACCTCGCAAATGATGAGTTTATGAGTATGTTTAAGTCTATTCACTTTACGTCTTTGCCGTATAAGACAGCCACGGTTAAAACACGAATAAATAACCCATGGGTTACCACAAATATTTTGGCAATGATACGGGACAAAAATCGCTTGTATCAGAGCTTCCTGGCGTCAAGATATGACCGTGACATTACTGCGCTCAGGATGTATAGTAATCAATTTACATCTAGAATTAAAAAGATAAAAAGCGTTTACAATTTCTTGTAATGCCGAATTAAAGCGCAGCTCTTGATGAGGAGGAGGGGACGGTACGGAGAGGAGGGTATGCCCCTCTTCCTCCTCCGTACCCTTTCCGTCTCCCCTTGTCCTCCCTTCCTCCTCGTTTCATTCTCCTTCCTCTCCCCCTCCTCCATCATCATCCTCCCTTCTTCTCCCCTCATTCTCCTCCCCTACTCCTCCGCTCTTCTCCTCCGCCTTTTTTCATCCTCCCTCGCCACGTCACTCATGACCTTCGTGACGTCACTCGTGACCCTAGTGACCATCGTAATGTCACTCGCGAAGGTCGTGATTTCTCCAGGACCTTCACGAGTGACCTTCATGACGTCACTCGTGACCCTCGTGACGCCACACGTGAGGTCACGTGTGACGTCATTATGGGAAATGTCCCACAATGCAACGCGCGGTTACGCCGACGGCGACGGCGCTCAAGCCTGAAACGGGCGCCTAAGAGCTGCGCTATAAAACACAAAGGCAAATTTTCACAAACGTAATTTTCACGACACACATAAAAAGCGCCCCGCCATTGTATGGCAGTCCATTAACGATGTTCTTCAACGCTGCAATCCAAAAGAGATCAATATATACTCTTGCAATATCTGGTGATCGAAAGAGCGTCAGAAATACCGCTCTCCGGGTATTTTAACATTCAGTTCTCCAACTTACCTTCCAGCGTTCACAATGTGTATGCGTCTTCGCTTCTCTCGAGTCGAGTAGACAAATCTGTTTTTCTGTCACCTAGGAACGAATCAAAAGTGTTTCGTGAATTTAAATGACCTAGTAATAGCAGAAATCACGACATTGATAGTGTACAAATAAAGTCCGCGTAATTTTGTGATTGATATAATCGTCTCAATATTAGTATACATATTGAACTTGGCCTTGTAAACTGCAAAGTGTCCAAATACCATGAAACTCGTAAAAGTTACCGTTTTGCATAAGTGACGTGATAAAAATGTAGTTACAAATGATAGGCAAATATCTGAACTACCCATATTTTCTGAAGGGCTAGAAAAAATAGTTTTCGTCGTTTAGACGATCTTTTTAATTCTACTTTAAGTGTTAACTTGAATTCACATTGGCTTCCGCAATAAAAAATCTACAGAATGCGCTTTGTTATCTCAGAAGAAAATAATATAAAGAAGTTAGTGCATAGATGATTGACATTGGGACTTTTTATTGGTTCTAGCAATGATTTGGAGTTTCTTAACCAAACAACCCTCCTTGATAGGCTTCCTATTAAAATGTACGAAGCAAGCCTTTAGGACTTGTTAACTCATATTTAAATATCGAAGCAGTGTATCCCAGTGAATGCTTATATAGCGTGTCTGTCACCAGACGCGATCTAAAAGAGAAAGTAAAAATCGACACCTGCACGAAGCAATCTAAACTTTCCGTGGAAAGATGTATTTTACAGATACGTTTTTTTTTGTTTTTGTTTTCTTGTTTTGCAAACTTAGAAAGCGTGGATTCATTTCTGTAAAAAAATGGGACCGAAAAACTTGCCAGCGTTAACGGCGGGCGACTGAGTTGAGCGGCGAGGCGAGTATGGCGCACGTATTGATAAGTGGCCCTACATCCTCATCGAGGCTGCGAGCGACGGCCGCGATTTACTAAAATGAAAACAATATTTTTGTAGTGAACATTTAATTTTAAAAAAATGCGGACAATAAAAAAAAGACTTGAAGTTAAAAAAAAAAAAAACGCCGTTGCTTAACGACGGCGTTCTTGCTTCCGACGGATTTCGTCTGCGCATCGTCTGCATTCTTTCGCTGGTTGCTAAACCTTCCGACGCTGCTCGCAACGCCATATTTCAATACGTGCGCCTAATAGGCCCGCCAAACGACTCAGTCGTCTGCGTCGCCGCCCCCCGCTGACCCCGGCAAGTTTTTTGGCCTTATTTTTTACAGAAAGGGAGCTACGCTTTGTAATTTTAGAAGAAAAAAACGCACCTGTGAAATACACCTTTGACGGAAAGTTTACAGTGCTTTGTGCAGGTGTCGATATTTACTGTCTATTTTAGATCGAGCCTGCAGACTTCAGACAGCCTACATTTATTCGTTGCAACTACTGAATTCTGGTGTTCTACAATGCAGTATATGGCCCCTTGCTGTTCAATGTGTATATTAATTACATCTTTAACATCTGTCACCGCTCATATATTATAGTGTATGCAGGTGATTCTAGTACATTCATTACAGCAGCGAATACTGATGAACTGATCATTATAAATAAGGCTGTCTTGGAGAAGTTTCTTTAATGATCAGAGCAAAACGGACTTGAAATAAACACCGCTAAAAGGAAAGCGATTTTATGTAGAACAGTAAATAAACTAATTAATACTAATTATTCACTTAAAAATGGGTGCACCCAGATTGAAAGAGTAAGCCATCCTAAACCGCTAGTCGTCTTTTTTTTTCAGAATATATTCAATGGGTTTATTATATAGAATTTCTAACTCAAAACTGGAAAAGGCAGCTGGCATTATCGGTCACTGTCTCTCTCTTTTGCCTACGAATGTTAAGATTCAAATTTATCAGGTTACGTAGGGCTTACAAATCAACTTTTGCCATTTAGTCTGGGGCACAACTTCAAAAACTGAAAAAAAAGAGAACTAATAATTCTTTACAAGAAATGCTTCGTTTTATTGTAAATGTTTCCTTCAACACACATGCCGAAACTTTATTTTTGAGGTAGATCGCCATAAACATATTTTGTGTTTATATTTATCGCTTGTTTATTTACGCCTTTTCGAACATAAAGTTTATTCCTTTTTTGGTGAATCTACCAAACCTAACTAAACCTAAATCAGTCATCACTGTTCGTCACAGGGAAATCTAGGACGTTCCTTGTTTCCGTATTCAAATTATGCACTACGATCTCTTGCTCATAAGGTACCTACACTGCTCAATAACATTTGTATGAACCGCATTGTATACAAATTGTAAAGTATACTGCCCGCATTGTATACCTAAAAAACGTGCTCACTTTTTTGTGTTAGAAAATATATTTGATTAGCGGGAATTTCAAAGGAATGTTTTGAATCGTTTCGCTAGTAATTTTTACCTAATGCGTTGATTTGATTTGTATAATTTTTAGGAATGTCTAAATAGGATTGTTTTTAAATCAAAATTATGCATTCTATGTACTTACAAGGGCATCAGACTCAGTCAAGCTAGCTCTTGATAGCCTTTTTCCCGGTGTTCTTGGTATAATGTTGCGAAAAGCAAAGTGCAAAGGCTACCAGGAGATTTTCTTCTGCAGACTCTAATGTTGCAATTTACTACTCCCCCTGTCTTCCCTTTACAGCGGGTTCTGCTCAATAAAGAATATGTACAGCTTGCATGCCACAGCATAGGACGTTTTCATGTGGGCTTTGCTGGACTGAGGTATTTGGGAAAGTAACTTCCGGACAGAAGCCTTATAATATTTTTTTTTTTAGAACGATCAGTTACACCTTTCCATTTTTTTTCGGTTCAGGCTTTTTATATATGTATGACTGTGTGCTTGAGTCCACCTGCTGAAACTAGTGAACGTTCCCAACGATCCCGGTGATTATTTTCTTTAAGCCGTATCTCCTCATAAGTCAATGACGTCTTTCTTTTGCGGTATTTTATGGCACCATGTGACCCACTAGACGTTCCAAAACTGCTTCTGAAAAAAGCGGTAGATGATGTTTTATTATGGGCGCGAAACGTACCTGACGTCCGCAAAGTCAATATTAAAGGGTGGTTTTTTACTTTATTTATTTACCCTTGTTAGAAAAGTTTTGACACACAATACTTAACACTACTTAAAAGAGCAGATGAGCGTCGAACTTGAAATAAATGCCCCATGCGGCGAACTTCAATCAATCAACCTTTATTCAGTGTGAAAGAACAAACTAGGGTGGCGAGAAACAGGCTGTTCATACTCATTGACAAACCTCACCCACCATTACTTGTACCTTCAACTGAATCGAAAGAATGCCGTATATCCTGCCGCGACGGACGAGTGGCAATGCCGCGTGCTCATTTTATGCACTCCCGGTTAACACCAAGTTCCTACAGCAGAACGCATGTCATGTATCCAGATTGATCTTTTTAGAACGGTAAGCAAATGCTGCACAGGAAGGGTTCAAACCCGGTGCCTACGCGTGACAGCCGCGTGCGTTACCATCTCAGACACGTACGCGGCAGTATTTACTTGTTTTTTATTGAATAATGCACTGTTACTTAGTTCAGACGCACAATAAAATGGGTCACCGTTTTTTTGCGGGAAAGAATAACATCCTCGCATCTGGAGAAGGATTTTATTTACCATGAATTGTATGTCCTGCAAATTTATGGCATTTATCTTACTACTGTCTCCACTATTTCAGTGAGAGCCCTTCGCGTTTCCTGCTCGTTGTTCGCCATCCCGCGGCAAAAGGGGAAGCATTCTATGTAAGGTCCCGCGGTTCTCCTGCACAGCGGGCACGGCGGAACTGTTCGCGTTGATGCCTCATCAAATGTAATTTCGGAATAAAAACATTTTTCACTGTCCCATTGTGGTACTGCAGCCAATACGTGAATGTCCCTTATTAGCGCGTTTAGTTAATGCGTAGAGAAGATAACTCACGTGCTACGCGTTTGCGTTAGTGTTACTGGCTCCACACTGGAGCGTGCAATCCAAGACCGCAATTTCGGGCTCCGCGCAGGTGCATTGAGCGCAACGCTAACGCAAACACACGGCGCTTGTGTTCCCTTGTATACGCAATGCTCAAACTCTACTGTTTCACCAGTTTCTAACGTCAACGAAAAGTGCTGCAGGGAGCAGAAGTGCAAGTGGTCGGCGTTCCTTTCAACTGGAAAGGCTGGGATTGTTAAGACGACGGCGCAGAACAATTATAGAAAATAATGTTCTAAGAAGATTTGTAATAAAAAGAAAAGTTTTTTTTTATTTGGCGTTGAAGGGTTGCTAGCGACAGGAAGCTTTCCCGATTGTCGAAAGTCGCGAGTTTGATAGTACCATATGCTTCACTCATAATTAATGTAATTTTGCATGGATTTCTCATACTAGCTGAAATATTTTAATAAATTTCAGTAAAATTGGATTTTATAACCTGCTAAATAAAAATAAGGCGATTGGCACAGCGATGCTAATTTGCTCAGTTTTTATTGTTATACTTTCTCGCACGTTTGAAATTTGATAATAGGTGACAAATTATATTGAAGCTTGAAAAACAATGTTTAAGATATCGTCATGGTACTATTATTATTAATACAACTTGCGGTAATGTAGGCCACCAATACGCATTGCGGCGATGTAGGCCCCTAATAAACACCACGATAATAAATATAGTTCATTCAACCGTAATAGTTTCCCCAGAAAGGTCAAAATTTTATTTTTTTTATATAAAATATATTGACATTTTTTTTTAAGATATACAATCAGTTAAATACTGGGTGTAACATAAAGTCCAATGCGTCACGGGTTACTTTGAAAACGCAGACGCTTCTGCTATCTGACTCAAATTCTGTTTTTTTTTTTTTTTTTGTAGTGAGAACAGCGTTTCTTAATTTGTATGTTTTGTGAATATGTTGTAAGCTCATTACCCGTGACGATATTTTGTAAAATTTTGATTAATCCTGTTATTCTTTTGCTGGGAATGATGTTAGAGTCATTATTCATCTGAATACCCCAAAAACCATTAGAAGGCCCGCAGTTCATTATTTCAAATGACAATTACCTTAGCGAGAAAAGGCAGGAACATCACA